GTAATTTTATTAATTAAATTAATAGAAGAGCCTGTTTCTACAACACATCGGAACTCTTGATCATTCATGGTGATTCGTATGTAGGGGTTTCTATTTCCTGTTCTTTGACCTGGGCTTGTTGATATGTTCTGTATCCATTTTCATATGGCCACTTGTACTTTCGCTATTTCTTTTTATTGTTCGAAGGGGCGCACTAGCCCCATTTAATATTATAAAATATTTGGACTCAATGTCCTCAACGAACTTACGTATACACCCGGGAAAGGGGGTGTTAGTAGTTCTTTGCAGGACGTCTGGGTTTTGTACTCATTGATGAGAGAGTTCGTTAAATCCATCCAGCACCTGGCTGTTGATAGTTGAGATATCCTCTGGGCATATCCGTGAAGCTGCATTTCGATCGCACTGAAGAATATGCTCGCCTGGCGTATACATGTTGTAAAGTAGCTACAGAATGAAATCTATCCTCCTGATGAACGGGCTGAGTTCAAATGTGTTGCCTCCAAATTGCGGTACTGGCTCAAGGCCCTGATCTGGCTCAGCGCTTGATTAAGATGGTTTTCTGACAATAGTTTCACTGGTTCTGCCATTTTAGTTATACCCGTTACTCGTAGAGTAAAAGGGTATATTGTATTCGTGCAAAAGTATGTAACATATAGAAGGAAGCGTTTCCGACCCTATAAAGTATATATATTCTTGTTCAGGATCACTAGCCGAGTCGATCTAGCCATGTCCGTCTGTCCGTCTGTCTGTCCGTCCGTATGAACGCTGAGATCTCGGAAACTATAAAAGCTAGAAGATTGGCATTTTGCATGTAGATTTTAGGAGTTCCTACGCAGCGCAAATTTTGTTTCAAAATGGTGCCACGCCCCCTCTGACGCCCACAAGCCACAAGCTGTGGCCACAATTTTGATGATATTAGGAAAATTTTAATTGATATGTATTTGTTTCGTCAATAAATATCGATTGGCCTAATAAAAGTTTGCCACGCCCACTCTAACGCCCAAAAACTCATTAAACGCTTAAGCCTGGCTAGCGCCTACATTTCTACATGGGGTAGTTGGCGCAATATAATAGCGCCATCTAACGGATGACTTTGGAACAGCTGGCCAAGGTGCTCAACAGAGTCAACGTTAATTCTCGATAAGGATTTATATTAAAGCAAATTGCGATGGTTTTCATTTGTCAATACCGAACTATATCCCAAGAAATATGCAAATCAAATCAAGTTAGCCAAATTGGAGGTCTGAGTCAAACAATGGCGTATGTGTATATGTATGTATTTACATTGTACACATTTGCGATTGCCCGGCAATTATAATATTAAGTTGTTCAGCTGAGTAACGGGTATCTAATAGTCGAGGCACTCGACTCTTGTTTTGTTTAGTTTTGATACATTTTTCTCAAATTTAAAAGTTTTTGGTATTTTGAATTTGATTTAATATTGTAAACTTATACCTCGTCTCTTACCACTGGTAACTAAGGTTTTTATTTTTTAGCAACCCTTGTGTTACGAACAAAAGCACGAACTTTTACAATAACCTGTATTAAACGGGTTTTTGCAAATTTAAATTTTTAGATACTTGACGGTCACACGGGTTAAAAACCTCGCAGCCTGAGCTTCGATAGCGTGTTGAAAAAATTGGGGTTTCCGTTCGTATAATAGCGACACAAACCGACACTGCGATAGCTGGTTTTAAATTGCACTGTGACGAACGATATTTGGGTTCTTTAAGGATAATATAACCGTAAAAATAGTTATATCCTACCGGCTGAGCCAATAACAAATTCTGAATTAACACTTTTAAAAAATATATAAATTTCTTTATAGTGTGAAGCGCGAACTGGGAGACATAGGTCTAGTATTAGACTTCTGCATGAATGTACTCATTTGTAGCATAACAGATCTGTACAGTAGTATAGTGTTCTTAAAAAAATACTGCACTCATTCTTTACTGTACAGTGAACACTATAGGCCAGAAGAATATAGCACAACATTTTCAGTGTACTCACTTCGAGTGAGTACAGTATATGGTTGTAGTCTTCGGGAGTGAGTACAACATTTGTCCATTTTTAAACACGCTGTACAGCTTGTGTGTTGACTGTGTACAACTGTGCAGATGAGTGCAGTCAAAAATTGCCACCACTGAAGACATGGTAAATAAAATAATGTTCCTTCATTCCAATAATAATAACTTAAATATAGATTCTTTAATAACATAAAATAATTGTTATAATTAGTTTTAATTAAAATATTAATAATTTCTAAATTCTTTATTGTATAATAAATACATTTGAAACTAAAATACAAATCAATTTTTTAATCGTATTCTTTCTATGACATACATACACCCGGTATATATATATGTGTGTATGTACCAGTCATGAAATTTCATTCACTGTACAGTAAGTATACTGCACACCAACACACTGTACAGTGCGCTGACTACTGCACATCAATTTTGCTGTACTCATCAACAGCTGTACAACTATGGAATAAGTGAGAGCACTGTCAATCAAAACAGACTATACTACCCTACTCACTCACACCCAAATATACTGTGCAGAAAAAAAAGTGTGCCCACTTCTAGACTAAGTGATTTATTTGTCGTTTTGGATGCATTCATGCAGAAGTCTATCTAGTATCATTGCTCCTTACAAGATTCAACTTACAACTCAGACTTATAAACTACGCTGACGTTTAGAAAACCTTCGATTGGCAGAAAGAACGCAATTGATAAATTGAGAGTGTCCAAAATGAGAGCAATCAGTATGAGAAGGATGTTTATATTAATTGGCGACTTGTGGGAGCCGTTAATTTAGGGTTCTTTGCTTACGTTGACAAGTGCGTAGTGTGAATGTGCTTATGTGGTAGATATGTAGAGGTAGATATGCTACTATATACATATGTATAATATTTACTTTCTAAAGCGGGTCTGTCTGGAGGACAGGAACACTTTCGGATTACGTATACCTACAATGTTTAGGTAAAGAGGATTGCGCTACCTTCTGGTGGCGAAATTAGTCTTCCGTTGTCCTGGTGATGACGGAAGGACTTAACTTACATATACGATATACATTTATATGTACATAAGTTTGTTAAAGGTTCTGTGACTTCTTTCTATTGTAAATAATTTTTTACCTTGGTCATGGTTTTTTAAATTGCTTACTTTTCCTCTTTTCTTAATTGAGGGGACCAGGGTGAGTAGCAGTACTCTTGATGTATGTACCTAAGTCTAAGGACCATCAGTATACAAATCGCTAGCGTTATATCTTGCAATAATTTTCTTTCGATGTTCAAAGGTAACTTCTTTTTGTATTTCGTCGTTTTTTTAACTTTGAATACGTTTGGTTTTATAGCTGTTTTAAGGGATTGTTGACGTAATCCTTTTTTCCATTTCCTGCGCAGGATTTGTATCTTCTTTTATATCTTGTGGGGACTTTTAAAATATTTAATGTATAGTCCTTTAATTGATCGTTGGTTATTCATAATAACGCATAACATATTGGTCTTTACCCTTAAGATACTCTACTGTAAATTCGTATTCCTCTAAAGCAAGCCTCACTTTTGTTAGTTTTGATGTAGGATTAACCTTAGAAAATTGGAAACTCAGTAAACTAAGGACTGTCTCGATTGTATTAGCAACGAATGTGAACGCGATACAGACCATTCTACTGAAGTACAATGAGTGATCACAGCAGGAGAAGACACGAGCAAATTTGAAATTCAACACAAAGAAGAATGACCCGACAACAAACACAAATTATGTTACAAAGTGTTGGGGATGCTTTGAGTGTCACCAGATGGGAATATGGAACAAAAAATGCCACAAGGAAAAATAAGACGGTGGACGTAATGTCTATTTGAATAATATAAAGAAAGATCCTATTGAAACCTGTATAAGTTGTGGATTAACATGGTTTCCCTTACAGATTAAAGCGTTTAGCAAATTTGAGACTCAACGGTCAGCAAAAGTTATAGAAGCGATGCGGTAATAGGCCAGAATTTTACCCAAAGCTGTATAAAGTTATTTCCCAAGACTGGCTCGGTGAATTTTAAGATGATATTAAGGTTCCATTTATTGTAGGCCACAGAGTTCGACCACTGGTGAATAAACTTTTTATGTCCAAATGCAACTAGCTCCTGCTTCACAAATAAGCTTTGATGAAGATATAAAATTGGTCAGAAGTTATTAACGCAGTAAAAGAGACATTTGACATTGACATTTGAGATTTAAATCTTTCGATATCATATTTTTTTATGTGACCGCAGATCGATTTTGAAAACGGCGGAGATCGGACGTCTACGTCGATGCCCTTATTCGAGTCCAATTTAAGCGAACACAATTTCCTCATATTTGGAAAGAGTCATTCTCTTTCTTTTCATTTGTGATCAAAACGTTTAAAACTAATTTTCAAACATATGCATTTACACTTATTATCAGCTTAGCTTTTCTGTTTTTTTATATATTAAATCCTTGTAGACCTAACTATGACTTGCATAAGCTTTTTAGAATACTATACTCTTACTAAATAGCACAGAATTTGGTCACACTTTTTTAATGGTTTTTTTTTTTAATATACGCCCCATGGAACTTTAAAAAAATTGGGCTATTCCTTAGAAATACCCGTTAAAAAGATTAAATCTCTTATAATTTTTCAAAGTGTGATGTCAGAATATCATACAAAGAGATCGATAACTACGCATGCAGTTGCGTTTAGAAATTTTTCTATATTTGGGGTGCTGGAATCTTTCTTGTGGCCGGGCATAGCTGACTCTTCTTTATTCACAACACAAATGAAAGAAGGGAATTAAACATATTCAAATCATAAAAATTAACAAAACACTTTATTTGCTTAAGAATGGAGAACCCACTACCGCTTTTTCCAAGTGTGGCGTGTTCAACAGAAAAAAAAAATAAATTTTTTTTGATTTTTAATTAATTGATTATAATTCATACGGTCTAAGCTATACAATTCTTTTTTATTTATTAAAATTTTAGATTTAAAGATTACTTCACACAAACGACAAATCGTCCCTAAAAAAAAATCGTTGACCACGAGCTTTTTTGATATTGGAAGGAAAGATGCTCAGAGTAAGTTTAAGTTAATCAGGCGTTCAAGTTTATACAATAAAATGTAAACTTCCAAAATTCTTGAAACATAATCCAAACCTTTTTATATATCAAGATGGTCGCATAGTATTGTTTGGAACTTCGCTGGAAAGTTGCTTAGCGAGAGGCAGAAACCAAAACAATGATATAGAGAACCGATCAAAATATTCACTAATGTCAGTATTTCGGGGGAGTGATAGTAACCCAGGAAGTGTTATGAAGCTAAATGACCATGTAAGTATATTTTGTTCATTTAAATAATAATATATTTGACGTAACACAAACAATAACAATAATTTACTAAGTCGAGATTATAAATGTTAGTAATGGTAGGTAGGTAAAAAAGTTTTTTGTACCCCCCCTCCTTATTTCTGGTACCTGTGATTAGCTCAGGCTGTAAGTCCCTGGCTCCGGAAGACGACGACCTAATCCCCAGCTGCCAATGATTTACACCTCAGCTTATTTTCGAGTCGTCAGTTTAGAGTGATAATTCAACTGGTTTGGTTATTTGACCTCTTATCCAGTCTTATTTAGTTAAGTAGGTGGTCGAGTATTTATTCCCGAATCTCAGTTCCGTTGTCGTATAGACCGTAGTTTCCTTCTAAGTCCATCCTTTTCTATCTCTGAAACTCCAGATTGTTTTCTTTTTATAATTTTGTATCTAATTCGCACGTGTTAGCCCATTTGTTAAGCTTATCTATGCCGATAACTTTTGTGACCCGTACTAGTTGAACTACGTATTCTGCGTAAGCTGCCTCTTTTACTCGTCTTTGGATTTCATTCAATATCTCTTTCATGATTAAGTAAGAGTAGTGACGACAAAACCCAGCCTTGAGTTATATCCTAAGATTTTTTTTGTACCTGTCCAATAAGTCTATCGCCCATATTATTCTTTCCATGCCAATGATATCTGTGCCTGTGACTTTAGCCCAACAGTTCGGGTAAGGATTTTGTCAAAGTCGCTGAGCATGACATTCATTTTTTCTAGTGATTCTGAGTAGTGGCTTTAGGTTCCTTTTTGGCATCGTATATCGCCTTCTAACACATTTTTATACCCTTGCAAAGGGGATTTTAATTTTGGCCAAAAGTGTGCAACGCAGTGAAGGAGACATCTCCGACCCTATAAAGTATATATATTCTTGATCAGGATCGCCTCCTGAGTTGATATAAGCATGTCGTCTGTCCGTCTGTCTGTCCGTATGTCCGTCCGTCTGTTTCTACGCGAACTAGTCTCTCAGATTTAAAGATATCGAATTGAAACTTTGCACACACCCTTCTTTTCTTTGCACGCAGTATATAAGTCGGAACGGCCGGGATCGCCTTACTATATCCTATAGCTGTCATACAACTGATTGATCGCAAATGCCATAACTTTGGTGTTTGTAAAGTTAGGAAGTTGGGATTTTCTATGGGTTTTATATCCTATAGCTGCCATGTAACTGGACGATTGGAAATGCCATAACTTTGGTGTTTTTAAAGTTAGGCAGGGATTTTTTATGAGTGTTAAGAATGCATAATATGAATATTTTGGAGAATATAATTTACTTTTTGATCTATTTTTGTAGTGACCATTGTTTTAGGCCGCTGGTTCCTTATTCCATTATGCTGGATATGATTTCCTTTGCTGTACAGGTGCATGTTTCCTTAAAATAGTTTTTTAAAATTATGGACTGGTCCTGTCATTCGTAGTCGAGTGCGTTTGCTGATGATTTTACTTACCCTCTTCAGTTTTTAACTTTATATTTGACAATTTTATAGAACTTGTTTAAATTGGTTTTGGGCGCGTTTTTCATCTAGAAGAAAATATTATATATCTATAGTCTGAAAAAAAATTTTATTTTGACTCTTTCTAGTTTTAAAAACTATGTTTGTTGAATTATAATTGTAGTGTAAGGCCCGGTGGTGCTATGAGGAGGACTGTCACCCGTGAAAATCGTCAGTAATAGGAAAAAAACCGTTTGACATTTCATGTTATCAAAAAGATAACTGCCCACTGCATCATCCTGATGACTGGCTTTTGCGAATCATGTCGTGCGACTTGCATGTAGCTCTGATCCATCAGAAGCTATGCATTTATTGTATTGTGGGAGTTCGGTATCACAGTAATCTTTTATTCACTGATGGTACTTGATTATAATAAGTAGTAATATTAGCAAGTTGCGTTACTCGTCGAGGCTTGTTCAGAAGAGAGGGGACTCGGGATGAGATCTTAGGATAAAGCTTTATCTATCGATAAGTGCCATTCCCGGTGAAGCCTGCGCAGATCAGCTGTTTTGGTATTCACCGAGAGACGCTGACATGTGGTTGGAACTCGTAAGGTAGTCTCCCACAGTATTAAAGTTAAATTTTTAATTATCTTCACCCTTCCCCTACTGACGACTTTGAATCTAATAGTGTAAATCCTTGAGGTTCAAAAACATTGACTTAACCACCTCTCGTCCATGGTTATTGTATTAAGCAGATTTCGATATCTTTCTCTCAGCATCGATATGGTGGGGGTTGCGACCATTTTTTTTCCTTGAAGGCCAACTGCTTATTGGTGTCGTCGACCTTCTCCAGAAGCTCATTCGGTTCGACTAGAAAAACCCCGTACCAGATCTTGCAGTACAGCTTTTCATCGAATTTTTTTGACCACCTTTTAATATATCAAAGCACTCTCCTGGCTTTATACTATTCACGAAAAATATGACCAGATAAATTAACTTTTGCGTGTAAAAAGACGCCAGGGTCACCAACATACATGATTAAGTCAAGGCACAAAAAAATGAAAAGTGGCATTACTGTGCATTCACAACAACAAGTGTGAGTCCCTTATGGGACGCCTGAAGTAAACCGGCTCAGGCTTTGGACAGAATTTCTAAGGAGGATTCGTTATGTCCTATTACTTAGATAACTTAAAAGCGAAAAGTAGTAAACTACTAAAATCAACGCAACTATATCTGTTTGAAGGTTATTTTTGACACACGTAAGGTGTATCGATTTTTTTTTTCAGAAAACCAAGTCTCACTAAGTAAACTAAAGTCACCTAATTCTAGATTATTTCTATCTGATAGTTTACTTGAAATAGACTGGATAATGGAAAGATGAGTTGCATATATGATGACGCAATATGTGAACAAGAATTTGATATAAAACTACCGGAAAACGATAAATGTAATCATAGGGAAACGATGACATTAAGATTGTAATTTAATCTTGAATATACGAGTATATGATATATATCAGCATAAAAAAGAATCGGAGAATCGAACATTTTTTTAATGCGCTTAATGTTACTATTAATGTCTGTTATACACAAACCACACTTCAAGCATCAATATGTTAAATACACAAGTCGTTTAGTATATAGTTCGGAATAGATTTAAAACTAGTGATAGTCTATTTGCTAATTATATATTAAATAATAATTTTTGAAACTTTCTGATTTTAGGTGAGGTCATGCGAAAGTTTACCATCTAAGTGCATGGACACGACTGAATGTTTTGGCGAGTCTTTCACAAACTCTGAGCTAAGGTTTGATAAGACTTATCAAGATAAATCACAACTAATGGTACCAATGTTCGTAAAGAACTGTATCGAATATTTGGAAGAGAATGGCTTACAAAAGGTTGGTCTCTTTCGAGTGAGTACATCCAAAAAACGAGTCAAGCAAGTAAGTTGTCAAGAACCACTAAAAATTTTTATTTTATTTCTCAATTTATATCACGATTACTAGTTGCGTGATGAATTCGATAAGGACTGTCATATGAAGATTTCTGTTGATACATGCCCGCATGATGTTGCCACCCTGCTTAAAGAATATTTACGGGACCTTCCAGAACCACTGCTTTGCGACAGACTCTACTTAACCTTTTTAAAAACACAACGTATTTATTTTCGATTACATGTATATTTAATAGTGAACAGACTTTTTTCAGGTATAAGAAATCGACGCTTGCAACTTGAGGCTATATCACATTTGATAAGACTACTTCCCATACCACACAGAGACACCTTGTATGCTCTTCTAATATTTTTGACAAAAGTAGCAGCCCATAGCGATGATTTATGCAATACTGACGGGAATTGTCTTATGATTGGAAATAAAATGGATAGCAATAACCTAGCAACAGTTTTTGCTCCAAATATTTTGCGAAGCACACTTTTAACATTTCCAAGGAATAAAGAACAGGAATATATGAGTGATGCAATTAATGTCGTAAGGTTGGTCACACTTATATCATTATTTAACAGTGCTTTTATACCTCTAATTGGACTTAGTTACGTTAGATGCAGTTCTTTTTGCAGCTAAGTCAGAATTTCTCAAAAGACCACTCGAAATATAAAACTATTTTTATACCCTTGCAGAGGGTATTATAATTTTGGTCAAAAGTGTGCAACGCAGTGAAGGAGACATCTCCGACCCTATAAAGTATATATATTCTTGATCAGGATCACCTCCTGAGTTGATATAGCCATGTCCGTCTGTCCGTCTGTCTGATTCTACGCGAACTAGTCTCAGTTTTAAAGATATCGAATTCAAACTTTGCACACACCCTTCTTTCCTTTGCACGCAGTATATAAGTCGGAACGGCCGGGATCGGCCGACTATATCCTATAGCTGCCATATAACTGATTGATCGGAAATGCCATAACTTTGGTGTTTGTAAAGTTAGAAAGTTGGGATTTTCTATGGGTTTTATTTTTGCCCAATCAATCCGACATATCAAATTTCATAAGGATCGGCCGACTATATCCTATAGCTGCCATATAACTGATTGATCGGAAATGAAATAACTTTGGTGTTTGTAAAGTTAGAAAGTTGGGATTTTCTATGGGTTTTATTTTTGCCCAATCAATCCGACATATCAAATTTCATAAGGATCGGCCGACTATATCCTATATCTGTCATATAACTGATTGATCGGAAATGAAATAACTTTTTTTGTAAAGTTAGAAAGTTGGGATTTCCTATGGATTTTATTTTTGGCCAATTAATCCGACCTACCAAATTTCATATGGATCGGCCGACTATATCCTGTAACTGCCATATAACTGAACGATTGGAAATGCCATAACTTTGGTGTTTTTAAAGTTAGGAAGGTGGGATTTTTTATGAGTATTAAGAATGCATCATATGAATAATTTTGGAGAATATAATTTGCAGAATATTCTGCAAGGGTATTTCAACTTCGGCTACGCCCGAAGTTAGCTTTCCTTTCTTGTTTTGAATAGTATTTCCGTTCTTTGTGGGATGTTTTAAAAAATATTTGCCAGTAATTGTATGCGTTTACTTTAATTCCATTTTAATTTCCTTGAAAACAATGAATTGATCTTATGGGAGCTATATGATATAGTCGTACGATTCGGCCCGTTCCGACTTATATATTACCAGCAAGAAATATAAGACTTTTGGAAAAGTTTCTCTAGATGAGGGCCATAAAACTTAGATACTAGTTTGCGTAGAAACGAACAGACGAATATGGCTAGATCAACTCTCCTGGTGATCTTGATCAATGAAAATGTATCATTTAGTACGTTGAAAACTTTTGTCTAAAATTATACGACCCTCTGGAAAGGAATAAAAACAGTTACAATGTCAAAAATTAAAATAAAAAAAAACAATTATATATTTTAACTATATGTTATGTCCGTCCGTTCGTCTGTCCGTCCGTCCGTTTCTACGCAAACTAGTAGTTTTAAAGCTATCTGATTGAAACTTTCCCGAAAGTTGTTTTTCTATTGCCGGTAGTATATAAGTCGGAACGATCGAGCGACTATATTATATAACTCCCATAGGAACAATCGGAAAAAAAAATTTAAAAATTATAACTTTGTATTAATTTTTTTTTTGTTCTTTGGGATTTGGTAGTATTTAAATATTATGGATATAGCTGCTATAGAAACGATGGCCAAATGCCGCGAAAAATCGAATAGCTTCATTGTTTTTAGTAATAGAGGCATATAAATCGAAATGTAGTCCTTTTGTAATAACTGCAAGGGTATATAAACTTCGACTTACCGAAGTTTGCTTCCTTTCTTGTTTTACCAAATCTTGTATATAATTTTCGAATGGCCATTTCTATGTTAACAATAAATTAAAACGAGTATGGAAGATAAAGTCGGCAAGCCGACTCATTTAGCAATAGGCAAAAAAAAACCTATTATTTCGCTTTCCGCTCAATATTCGCACAGCTGTAAAGCTTCAAACACAACATATGTGTTTCATCAGCTGACGCCTACCTCTCTCCCGCCAATTTTAACCACTTGCTAAAATTTGCAAATAATTTGATTTTATTCATTGCAATTCATCTTTTTGCTATTAAATATGGAAAAAGGTATGTAATTAACTACAAAATAAGTGTTTGTGACCTGTGATTGTGTACGTCCCAAAATTGTATGAGGTGTAGTGCACGTAAGAGATATAATGTTTACTAACAAACTAAACCTACGTAGATCAGAACTTGAGGTTCAACTGGGTTCGATATCAATTTTTTTATAAAAATTAGTCAATGTTTTGCACTGTGAAAATGTTCAACATGAGCCGCATATTTCCGCATATTACCTTTAAATATATTCGTTTAGCCTCATTGTCAGTGTCCGAACGCGTGCTATTTTCAGTATGGCTCATGGAAAATGATGCTTTCAACAAATTTTTTGCTGTGCGTCTGTACGTCTACAACAATATTAAAGACAGAAATATATATAATGATAGTGACTGCGCGAAAATAATTGAGAAAATAAAAAATGTTACCAAAAAAAGTGGCATCCAAATGGCAAGCCAGGAGACAGCCAGGAGAAAACAAAAAAAAATAAAGTTTCGGACATCGTTAAAGCAATTTCGTGTGAAGAGCTCGTATCTGCGGCTAATACTAGTTTGTATAATTCTGGCAAGCGAAGTGCAGCTAAGATGATTACGTTATTAAACTCTGATGAAAGTTTGCCCAAAAAAATGATATTAGCTACTCAATCAGCTGATAACCAACCGATTAAGTACACAGCAGAGGAAGCCTTAGCTTTATATATTGATGGTAGTTACACAAAGAAGGCATATATAGACCTGCAGAGTGGTACCAAAAAGCGGAATGCAAATATATTTCCGATGTACGATGTTCTACTGTCTGGAAAAAAAGTGCCATCCTAGTGGTCTCAACGTCATTGATCATTCATTCTAAGTACCCTTACAAAGCTTGATTGATCACACAGTTGCCAGATTATATACCGGACATTCCAAAGATTTTCCAGCTGCAGAGAATAGCAATATTCCTACGATAACTGCAATATACAAATGGGGCTGTTGTGGGAGTAGTGGCCATGCAACATATCGTCAAAACTTTAACGACACAAATGCTTGTATGATCGATCAACATATGTTTTCGGTGTGCTTGGTACCACTACAAATAGTTCTTGGATCAACAATACTCTGGAAAAATATAAAACCTTCATCCACACGTTATTGATGAGTATGGCATATCAAGCCTGGATTCGTTTCCTTCATTGCATTCTACATATTAGCTATAGAATTATTCTTAAAAAATGGCAAATTCGCAGTGCGAAAAAGCAGCTGTTAGAAAAAAGGAAATACAAGATAATTTGGGAAAGGAAATGGCATATTGGTTGATGTTCCCAAGCCAGGTTCTGGTAATACTAATAACGGCAACAAAGCCAGAAGATTTTTCCAAGAACCAAAAAAGGCTGCCAAAATTACCGGAGTAAGCTCTGTATTAATTTATGGATTCAGCGTAATCTTACCCACCTTAGCACGTGGATATGAAATTGATAGAGAAGCCTTTCAACATTATGCATTGCAAACCACAATAATAGTAAATGTGGACTTGGTTTTACATGCCTACATCTGTCCATAAAATTTTAATGCATGGTGCAGAAATAATAATGTCAGAAAAGGCTCTCGAGGCCAGAAATAAAGATTTGCGAAAATATCGTTTACATCAAACTCGAAAAAATTTGCGAAAAAACACAATGGAAGACATGGCCAATACACTTTTTATTTTATCGGATCCATTTATTACCATGCTATCAATATGCTCAGTTTCCCCTTCCAAAGGCAATGAAATAGTAGACAATGTGTTATCAGTCTTATTTTAAATAAAGATGTAGAGGAACACTTATCTAAAGATTCCTCATCAGATACCGATTAGAGCAGTTAAATATTAAAAACAAAAAAAAATAAATAAAAAAAAATTTTAGCAAAAATTGTTTGTATATTAATTTTGATTTGTCGTTAGAATCTATACCAAAAAAAATTATCCGTACAAAAATATCATCATTATTGCAGAAGATATTAGAAATGACATGGCTATACCGCCTCGCCTTGTGATGCTGATCAAGAAGATATATAATTTATAGAGTCCAAAATGTCTATCTCACTGGCTTACAAGGTTCTGACAAAAATTATAACATGTTCTGCTAATTCCTTGCAAAGCTCAAAACTAAATAAAAATAAAAAGGAATTTTTTAAAGCGAGGAAAGTTGTTAACTTTTGCTAAATATGGTGCAAAAGCAAAAAAAACACTATAAGCATTGCTTCTCGAGGGTATATACAGGATTGTGATCAATATTTTATACTTTTTATTTACTATTAATGTAAGTAAAAATTAAAAAAAATTCGATTTTATTGTTTTATATGTAATTATATATTCGTAAATCTTGTTTACATTTCTTTATTTTTTATAGGACTATGATCGATCATTATGAAGAAATTTTTAAGATCTCAGCAGAATTGCTTAACATTATTTATACACAAGTGCTGGAATCATGTCCCGAAAAGTTATACGAGATAATTACATCAAAAATAAATGGATCTGAATGGTAAGGCATTTCGTATTTTTTTCTTTTTTACATAAATATTTATCTGGCAAGTCCTTAGTTAGAATCATCATTATCGATTATAGGAATGTTAAGGCCCGTTACTCGTAGAGTAAAAGGGTATATTGTATTCGTGCAAAAGTATGTAACAGCTAGAAGGAAGCGTTTCCGACCCTATAAAGTATATATATTCTTTTCAGGATCACTAGCCGAGTCGATCTAGCCATGTCCGTCTGTCTGTCCGTCTGTCTGTCCGTCTGTCTGTCCGTCTGTCTGTCCGTCTGTCTGTCCGTCTGTCTGTCCGTCTGTCTGTCCGTCTTTCTGTCCGTCTGTCTGTCCGTTTGTCTGTCTGTCCGTATGAACGCTGAAATCTCGGAAACTATAAAAGCTAGAAGATTGGCATTTTGCATGTAGATTTTAGGAGTTCTTACGCAGCGCAAGTTTGTTTGAAAATGGTGCCACGCCCCCTCTGACGCCCACAAGCCACAATGTATTATTACACTCATATACTACTTAAAATTCTCATAATCGAATGTCTCTTATTATTCACAGTCATCTTAAAAGCGAAATTTCCTTAAATAGAAATCCTTATCGAGAATTAACGTTGACTCTGTTGAGCACCTTGGCCAGCTGTTCCAAAGTCATCCGTTAGATGGCGCTATTGTATTGCGCCATCTACCCCAAGACATTGGTTTTTGGGCGTTAGAGTGGGCGTGGCAAACTTTTATTAGGCCAAACGATAGGTATTGACGAAAAAATACATATCAATTAAAATTTTCATAATAGCATCAAAACTGTGGCCACAGCTTGTGGCTTGTGGGCGTCAGAGGGGGCGTGGCACCATTTTGAAACAAACTTGCGCTGCGTAAGAACTCCTAAAATCTACATGCAAAATGCCAATCTTCTAGCTTTTATAGTTTCCGAGATCTCAGCGTTCATACGGATAGACAGACAGACGGACAGACGGACATGGCTAGATCGACTCGGCTAGTGATCCTGAACAAGAATATATATACTTTATAGGGTCGGAATCGCTTCCTTCTACCTGTTACATACTTTTGCACGAATACAATATAACCTTTTACTCTACGAGTAACGGGTATAAAAAATATTACCAGAGTATCATTACTGTTCTTTAGATTCAATAAAGTGTTCTGTTGTTAAACTTAAGGTTTCATAGAGGAGCAAATAGTGCTCTGGGGACTTTAGTTCAATTATTAGACGGGGTTAGTTCAGTGGACTTCAATATTATTCTGTATTTTAATTAGTAATAGTAAAAATGTTTCAAAACGTATATATATTCGCGACCAGCCCACGACTTTCCTTCTTCCTCTCCAGATTATGACTTTTTTTTCTTCGGTGACAGCCAAGTGTGTATATGGAAAAGCGGTTTTGGTGTAGCTTTTAAATTCGTCGTGCACAGCTGATCTGCTGGGACCAGTACTATAATCAAAGGACATGCTAGTAGGGTAATCTGTGAAAAACTAAGTGTTTATTATGTGACAAATGCGTGCGACCAAACGTGCTATCTAGTTCTTATAATGCAGCCTGTTCGCATCTAGGTAATGGGAGAGGACATATTTTAGACACTGAACGCTTGTAAACGCCGGATGCTGTCTTGATGGTTGCGACTCTTACTAAGTTGTCTGCTCTAATTAAGTATGAACAATAACTAAGTTCAATAATTAAATAAAGTCTTCATTCGCTGGGTGGTAATCGATCATCTTTTACAATTACAATGTCGTTTACTTGTAAATTGTCCTGCTTCTTTTTCCATTTGGGACGATCTTGTAGGTGCGACAGCCAATCATTACTCCAACGCATCCAAAATTGTCCTTGGAGGAAGTGTATAGTAAGCGGCGCATCATCTGGTTCAGTGGACAAAGCGGTCGAGAATTTAGGCAGGCTTCTATCTGTGTTAAAACAGTTGCGAGTTGCTCGTAGGTCATGTTCTGTCCTGAGAAGGCTCTATATAAATGAGTTTTTACTGCTTTCACATTGGCTTCCCATAAGCCTCCAAAGTTTGGGCTATGTGGTGGGTTGAAATGCCACTGAATCTGACGAAGCGCTAGCAAGGGGACTACTTCTTTAGAAAGTTCTTGTAGAAAATCGCTATACATGTGCTGGTAGTATCCCCGACGTCTGCAATCATTTGTGATCATGGCTTTGGCGAGGTCTAAAGCAGATTATGCATTTGCGAAGAATACGTTTGACAAATTATTTTCCGTTCACAATCCAAAATTGATGTCTGATCGTAGCCAGGGTGAGCTCGGTGCCACCATGTAAAGCGATCCGATGAGCATTTTGCACAAGAGATTCCGTGAACGGATGGTTTTGGGGCACTATCATGGGGTTTCTTTGCTCCATTGCAAGATGCCATGCGTTTCGCAGACGACCCCGAACGCGTAGTATCTGGTTTTCATCCAAAAAAGGGGATATTTGGCTTAGCTTGCTAGCGGTCGGTAGTGATTTCTGGTTTTTCAGCACGTTTATTTCGGATGTGTATTTTTCCAATTGGATTATTCGTATTATATGTCCTAAGGCTGCTTGTAATTCTGCTACCGTGAGTGGAACAGTTTGTCGATCGCTTCTTCGCTTTCGCATATTGGTAATAAATCGTAACGCATATGCTATTACTGATAACGATTTGTTGTATGATGAGTATGGCTTAAAAATGGCTGTTGACCTTCAGGCTCCTGCTGACAATGCAATACGATAGTAGAGGTTTTTTATTCGCAACTAGATAATCGACCCTTTAGATTGCCATGGTACCGGTTGGACAATGTAGTTCCGCCTTTTGAAGCCATGCAGGTCCTGTCCACCATAACGGATGAATTGCTATCTTTTGCGGTGTGAGACCACGCGTTGCGCAGTCAGCTGGGTTGTCGCTTGTAGGAACATGTCGCCACTGTGCAGGTGCTCTGGGCTGTGCCTCCGTTTATCCAATATAGGACGATAGAGGCGTCTGACAGCTAATTTATGTTTCCATTTCGCAAGTGTGACGAGGGATCGTGATTGGCTTGGTGGGTGTGACTCTGCTGCGCGCAGCAACCAGCTGGGTGCGGACTGTACCACTTGGATCTTCAGTCCTCAGATAGGCAGACGTTGCGTGTGCCATTGAGGATCCATTGCAAAATACGTGCAGCTGTAAGTTCAAACTATCGATGAGATCGAATCCGAACCATCGCTGTACTTTGATGTGCTCGATGTGTGGTAAGTTAGTAACGAACTCATGCCAATGATCCCGAAGCGGATATGATAGCGGTTCATCCCATTCTAAAGGAGAATGAGTTTTTTCTGAATTCCATTCCGGCTGAAAGCAGACACGCAATTAATTGGCCTCGAATGTCTCGAGCCCCGACTGTCGTGGAATGCCCTCTTTGCACATCGTCTACATAAATCTCATTTCGAAGAGGATACGTTCTACTGTCATCTTGAGCTAACTGCAAAATAACGCGTATTGCCGTATAAGGAGCTGACGCAGTTCCAAATGTGACTGTGTTTAAGAAATATTCATCCAGTTGGTCATGTTCATCTCGCCAGAAAATTCGTTGAAATTGGGCATCTTCTTGATGCATGTCATTACATCTGTACATCCTTTGAATGTCTGCTGCAAATACGAATCTGTGAAGACGCCAGTTGATAAGAACTCCTGCCAGATCATTCTGAAGGGCAGGTCCGGTACATAAGAAATCATTTAAGGACCTTCCATTGCAGGTTTTGCACGATGCGTCATATACTATCCTCAGCTTTGTTGTGATGCTTTCTTCCTTTATCACTGCGTGGTGTGGGAGGGTACAGGACGAGCAGATGGTTCCATAGGTTTTGCTGCTGGATGTCTGTTGCTCCTCTGTCGTTGTAGTTTTTCTGGCTTGACCTAAATCAAAATATTCATTAATGACCTTGGCATAACGGTGATAAAGATCTGGTTGTCTTTGGAACTTTCTTTCAAGCTTTTGGAATCGGTTTAATGCAATGTCGTGACCTACCTAGAACCTGTGAGGGGTCAAACAAACGTTTAAATGGTAAACGCACCATGTACTTGCCATTTTCCTGTCGTATGTGCGTTTTTTGGAAGTGGTTTTCGCACCATTCTTCTTCTGGTGTTAGGGATCGCGTAGAATTAAGTTCATTGATGTCGAAGAATTTTTGTACCAGCCTTTCCAAGTTTGTGTAATGACACCTGATGGTAGTTAAATGTGTGGTAGCTGAGTTAACTTGACCGAAAACAATCCAGCCAAGCTTTGTTCGCTGCGCAATCGGTTGGTCCTCGTTACCTTTGCGCAGTTCCGGCAGCATAATCTAATTTGATTCGAAGAACGTTGGATATGCGAAATACAGCCCTTCAAGGTGCCTGCAATTATGTAGACTTTCGGATTGCTTTTCCAAATGGGTAGTTAATGAGTTCAACACATATTGGGTTTATTTCTGTGTTAAACGTCGAATTGTTACACGCGCTTAATGAAAGATGAGTGGTGTATCTGCATTGGTTAGTGGAAGATTCTCCGACTCCAGATATTTCGGCGGTGATTGAGTGGCGTTTGAGATTAAGCGCTTGTACTATGTGTTCGGTTATAAGCGTGCCCTCTGAACCTGGATCGACTAGCGCGCGTAAGACAGTATAGGGATAATTAAAAAAAATATTTTTCTTATTTGCATTTTTGCAACCCTTCAAAATGTAAATAAAATAAGAAATGTAAAGGTCATGTCTTATAAGAATTATAAAGATACGGTTTTTAATATTTTTTTATATATATTTAAGTACTCGGTCAAGCACCAAGCGTAAATCTGATTTTTATCCTTCCTCGCTGTGGTTTGAACACATGACGGAAACCACAGATAAGGCAATCGTCTATTTAATTGCCAAATTTTTTCAAACTACTTATTATTTTAATTATTCAACACAGCCTTATTCTATAATCATATCCAAGTCGAAATATGAAAATTCTTTTGTATCTTCTTCGGGTTAGGACTGTTTATTACTGGATTTAAATTGTTTATCT